GGGTTAGATTTCTCCATGTAGATCATGCTTTAAGCATAGTGAAGCACCTTTTCCAATAATTATATCAAGTCCTTGAAGACAGCATCTTTTACTTGACAGGGTGAAGATCACTGTAGTTTTTATACCAAGAAACCCATTCTAACCATGGAGTCTTGCAACTGGAATGTATCCAAGAATGACTTTTCCTTAATCACATTCAGTGGGAATTCCCATAAGTTTATACCTGTAAATATGCCAATAGATGAATCACGTTACTATGGTAGAAAAGGATACAACTTAAAAGTTTTAGAAATGGGAAACTTGTCAGAATGATAATTGACAAAAATGATATGTCAGTTATGTTAGTTAGTTTCACTGAAGATGAATTTATTGCTTATTTCCACATTGCCAAACCAATTTTTTTCCATCTAATACTCAATTTTCTCTATTTGTTTGGGACTAGGAATGTTTTTGCAAGATTCATGAAGTCACAGAAACTAGCTATTTGTCTATTTATTCATTGGTGTCTTAAACAATCTTAGAATATCTACTTATTTCATATTTTATGCTATTAATTGGAGATAAAAGATTTAATGGAACAAAAAAGATATGCATAGTTAGAATGCATCAGATTTATGTCTTATAACACAGTCACAAAATAATAAGGGGAACAACTAAACATGGTAGATATAATAAAGTAAAGTTCAAGACATGACAAAAGCAAACCCTCAGGAATTATAGATCTTTCTCAGGAATTTGAAATTATTTACAATATTTTAAAAGAGAGTCAGAAGGACTTCCAATTTCTGATTCAACAAAAATTCTCAATAAACTATTAGTAACTCATTCTGACAATGTATAAAAAAAAATACACTGTGACCAACTGAAATATAACCTAAATACATTAGGCTGGTCTAGAATTCAAATATCTATTAATGCAATATATTAAGCCAAAGGAAAAAGATGAAAAATCACATGGTTATGCCAATATTTGTGGTCAAAGCATTATAAAAATTCAACACTTATCTCCTTTTTAAAAGAACTCTCAGTAAACTAGGAATAGAAGAAAATTTTCTAAATTTAATAAAGATTACCTACAAAACAGCCTGTAACTAATACCATCCTCAGCAGAGAGAAACCAGAAGCCTTCTTTGTACGGTAAGGAACAGGCAAGTATCCTTCCTCTCACCACTGCTTTTCAACATTGTAGTGCTAGTTTTTCAAATAAAATCAGGCCCAATATAGAAAGAAATGCATGCTTGCAAAATAAATCCATCTTTGTTTACAAATAACATGATAATATAGGAAGACCTTATTTAAAATAAAAAAAAAGAACCAAAAGTCTACAAAAATCCGGAATAAGTCATTACAGTGAATCCTCAGGATACAAGGCTAATATGCAAATGGAGTTCACTTTCCTATATACCAGCCACAAAGGACGCTGAAATTAAATATACAATAACATTTACTTTAATATTTCCAAAAATGGAATATTTTAGCATATATGTAACAAAATATGTTACAAGGAAAACAGTGAAGTTCGTATGAACAAACACATAAGTAAAGAGAAAGTTACTAATTGTTCATGGAGAGAAAAACTCAAACAGCATTGCCAAGAGGTCAATTCTTCCCAACTATATCTTCATAACAGTTGCAATTTCAATCAAAATTCTATCACACTATTTAGTAAATGTTGACAAGTTAATTCTGAGGTTCACATGGTGAGGAAAAAGGCTCAGAATGAGTAACCATATACTGAGGGGAAGAATAAAAATGGACAATTAATAATACCTAACACTAACTCCTCAAAATAGAACTTAAGAAGGAAACTAATGATTAATTAAAGTAAATTAATGGTGTTGGTAATAATGCTTAGCCCATATGTCTGAAGGAGAATTGGTAATAGATTAATAACATATCCAAGCAGATGAACTAATACCTAGTAGATAAGTTTGCTTTGGTCACAGTTGCCTATGAATATGAGTTTCAAAATGAACATAAAGCCTTAACTTAGATTTTCATTGTTTTAGAATCATCACTGCCTTAATGTTCAAACATCTATTTAAGTCGTCCTGATAAAGAAGAAATGCATGTTTGTTTATGGCTTTTTGTAAATAGATATGCAGTGACCTATGGCTTTACTTCTGTTTGTGACGATGTTTGTTAATCCAGCCCATAGTTATTTACAAAGAGTGGAGCATGTGATTGTTCTTCATGTACCAAGAACTGTTCCACTGCAAAACCTTAGTTACCTGGATTGTCCTAAGATCATTTGTAAAAACTGAAATTCAATGATTGAAAGGAAGCTAGAAAAAAAATTACCTAACTTCAAGACAGTATAAGCTATAAAATCAAGACAATGTAGTATTGATGAAAGAGTAGACTTCTCGACGTTTATTCAAATGAGCCAAAAATGTAAACCTTACATAAGGAGGCACTCAAATATTTCCAAAATCTTGTTCATAATTGCCAAAACATGGAAGCAATAACAATGCTTTATAACTTTGAGAAAGTTATTTTCTACATGTAAGAATCAATTTTTGTGAAATGAATTATTGCAATTAAAGTTTTGATAATAAGTAAAATATGTGTAGACTGCTCATAGAGTGTGTGAGATACACAGAAGTATGTAATCCACTTTAATTTTCTTAAAAGAGAAATATTAAAAATGTCTTACTTCACACTTGAAAACATCTCAAAATCAATGAGATAGTTAATAAAATTCAACTGTTACTTCTAGATGTTAGAACCAACAATCCTATCTTGAAAAACTGCTTGTGGAAGAGAAAATTGAAACCAAAATTCTAGAATGTATGAAATTCTTCAAAGGAAAACCCAAGTTCAAACAATGGAATAATATTACTAGTGCTCAGAGGAAAATTTGAGTTCATAAGTGTTTACATTATCTAAAAAGTAAAGTAGAGATGAAGAAGTCTTTCAACTAAAAATGTTAGGAAAAAAGCATAGAATTAAACTAAACTAAAATAGGTAAGAGAACAAAATGAAGATAATCATGTCTTCCAATTGAAAACACTTAGAGCTATCATATCTGTGTTAGTTTTCTTTTTTTCCGTTACTATTACAAAATCCTGAGCTAATTCAACTTAATAACAGATAAGTTTATTTTGGTCACCATTTTAGATGTTTTAGTCCATAACCAACTGGCCTCTTTGCTTTGAGCCTTTGGTGAAGCAGCACATCATGGTGGGGAGCAAGTTGCTGAGCAAATTTTGTAGAGAAATAAAAAGGAGACACAGAGACAAGAGGCAGAGGCAGAAAGAAAAACAGCTGCTCATCTAAGTGATCTCGTTTATTTATAACAATAGGTTACATTAGGTTATTCATGCCATAACTACATTATTGTTTATTGTATCACTAAGGATGCTCATTCTGCAGTTACATTCTAGTTACAATATGCTGTGTTAGAAGTTTTGTATAGCTCTCAAGAAAGTCCATTGTTTGAAGTTATTGTTAGGCAGGCAGATCCAGGAGCACCAGAACTTGGTGAAACATTGTATTTATCAAGAATCAAGTTCCTGTATTCATAGGAGCCATATGCCTGAGATCAAGGTCAAGGCTGATAATACTGTAGTTCAGAGCCTCCTCAGAGGGCATTGCTACAACAGCTGTTCATTTCCTACCTTTGCACAGAAACTTTTCCAGCTGCTAGGCATCACATACTTTTGTACAGAAACTTTCCCAGCCACCAAGCATGCCACAGCCATGAAGTCATCAGAGACCCCAATCCAGAACACAGAATCCTTATAGCTCCCCTTTTTTGTTTTATATGGCCTTTTGGATGAATAACACTTGTTTTTTCTTTAATATTGGCAGAGGTTAAAAAATAAGGTAGGCTTTTGGTAATATGGCCATTTTAATAATATTAATTCTGCCTATTCATGAGCAAG